GGGCAAGAAGATAAAGTGAGCTGGAGAAAGGAGACACTTTGGGAATGAAAATGCCTCGCAGATGAATTCTGTGGTGATGAATGAACCAGGTTCAATAGCCAGATGAATTTATATGTGTTCCATTATGAGGGGGTTGGCTATGAAACATGGAGATGGTGGGTGGCGGTGGGTGGAGAGAGGATGGAGAGAGCCCTCCCTGGCTGTGCTGAGGAGCTAGCCATGCACGGCGCGTTGCGAACAAGCCATCTGTAGAGATAAGTAAAGAAGTGATTACAACAGGGCCAGCTCCATTTCTGACAGTTGACGCTTGGCTGCACCCACGCAGCGAATTGATTTAAATGAAGAAGCTATGAATATTTTAAAGGGCACAACCCCCCCTCCCCCCATTGCCACCCCTCCTCCCCCACCATTGAAGCTCAGCCGCCCGCTCACTCTTGTGTATGTGCACAGCACCAATAGACGCAAGGGGAAAAGTAATTATTGAAAGTGAGATGGGCCCTTGAGTGGGTCCAAGTGTGTTTTGGCTTCACAAACAATCCCAAAATAACAAGACACCAGACTCGGGTTGGGATCAAAAGTTGTGGGCTAAGGCGACCGCAAACAATGCAACATTTTGGCCCTGAAGTGTGGTCGCCACGTACCTGCAAACAACTATTCGCACACCCATTCTAGAATCTCCAGTGAAGCTAACACACGTTTTTGGAATGTGGGACGAAGGCGGCGCAGCCGGACAAAAGCCGCGCAAGCGTGGGGAGAGCATGCACATTGCAAACGGGAGGGCCCGAGCGGTCACAATTACTCAGAAATAAGTTACAGTCATGTTTGCTGCTCTGTGCAGAAGATAAAGAATATATTTCTGTGAATATGCTATTCGTTAGCCTGTCTACAGTGTATTACATTAGATGTACATAGATAAATATTAGATTTTATGAGACCAGTGATTTTAAGTAGGAATGTGTAAAATAAAATCGACATTACAGTCGTGACAATGCACAATAATACAACCACAGTGTATTGATTGAGTTGCATTTATTCATAATTGTCATTATTTATTCATTCGAGGGGCGTTGCTCGGGAATGATTTGTAATCACCGCAAGGTGCAATAAATAATAGATCACAAAGATTGCATGTTCCTGCCGCGTCAACGTTTTAATGACGGATGCGTCTCATCGAAAAAGGTGCAACAAGCGTCTTGAAGGTTGGTGACAAGGTGTTGTTTTGCGGTGCGAGTGATGGCAGGTTGCAAAATGTCCCCCCCTGCGGCCTTGACGGCAAAGAGAACCATTGAACTCCCTTCAACCTTTCGCTATTCCAAACATACCTTGATGACAAAAATGGATTATCGGCGCTCGGCTGCAGGTGAAAACGGGTGTGATTCTGTGGACATAACTTGAGCCCACTCTCTTTTTCTGTCAAGAGTCTGCGGCAATTCCAGGCATTTGGGCCCAACTAAATCATTGTCGCCAATGGCTGAAAAGGCATGTGGCACAATAAGGGGCCTGTCTGACGCTTCCCTCCCCGAGAAGAATAGAGGACGTTGTCTCAATGCCACTCCAACATCTGGGACCTTCCACAGCCCACAATACGGGTGTAAAAGTAAATCTTCCAAAGCCGAGGGACTAATAGTGCAGTTTACAATATTCATTTTGGGGGATTTTACTCCTTCATGTCAACGCGGCCACACGTTGCAATTTTACTGATGTAGAAAGCTGCTTTGACAAGACCCTAAAGTGGATGAATGAAGAAGAAGAAGAAAAAAAAAAAAAGCAAGCGTAGAACATATTCAATGACCTCTTAGTCCGGATGTTTGGGATCGTGAAATTCCCATCAATGTCAAGAGCTGAGTGTGTATTCACGGTTCTTAATCATATGAAATGGAGAGGGGGAGGATGTGCTGTTCACAGTTTGTTTGCATGTCTGACACAAATCTGCCGGCCAAGTGTAAGCACAACACCCCCGCCTTGCCATGTTTCCGTTTGACAACCACAACAAAAAGACACTTCAGATACATATCTTGTTTTTTTTTCCCCCTCTTGATGAATTCATGTGCCACTGACCTCCCTTTGCATGGAAAAATACAACATTTTTTTTAAATTATTTGTGGCTCCGGCTTCCTGGAAGGCTCCTTCCATTCTTAAATAGCACATGAGTCAGATTAAGGCACCATTCATTTGACCCCCACTTCAGGCTATGTTCATAACCGCTAGCCCACTTGGCACCCCTAACTTCGGAAGACAAACTAGAAAAAGCACGCCCTGACCTGGACACTATCTATTAAAAAAATCCCTGGTGAGCGCTTTGTTTTCATACAGTGGACGGCCTGAAAAGAAAAGATGGCGGGGGGGACAAAAAGCACAAGAAGCCTATGGACTGTTGAGCATTTTGAGCCCACCGTGCAATCCCTCGTTTTCCTTCATAACCCCCCGTTTGTGTGTGTGTGTGTGTGTGTGTGTGTGTGTGTGTGTGTGTGTATGTGTGTGTGTGACAGTCATGTGAACAAGGCCACGCACATTCTTTCATGCATGAGTCCGTAATTGCTAGAAGGTTTTGGACGGGCATTTCATCGGCAAGACCGGAGTCTTTCATTTTACACAGTCAGCAGGCACACTGTTTACATTGGAAGTAGGTGTGTGCTCACTGCTATAAGTTTGCAATTGAAAATATCAATTGTTGCCATATTTGTTAAAACGGTCATTCTGGAAAGAAAAATGGAGGCATCTCGGACCCCCGTCTTGTGTCTTCATTTGTTGGACAATAAACCAGCACACCCGAGGAAAAACAACCAATCCCAGACATGCCTTATGAGGTGTCAATCATTTATTTTGCACTCGTGGACACACTCGTCGTGGACGTATCCGCCGCTGCCTTGCAAAGAATAAAACTTGTTTTGTGGTACCGCTGCATTATGGAGAAAGCTTTTTAGGCCGAAGGTAAGAGGTCAGCACAAGGTCATATGGGTACATCATCGACCGTATAGCTACTGTATATATCAACCTACATACAATCCAAACAACTCTTTAAATCAAGATTTCACATGTTGACAAGTAAATAAAATGCAATAATTACTGTGCCCACTAAAAAGAGCTAAAAGGCTTGCGGGGCCTTGAAAAAACGACGAGCCAAAATGAAAACTAAAAAACTAAAAAAGCACAGAACGAAAAGTTACCCAGAGACAAGTGGTATTTTAAGCATCTGCTTTAAAAAAAAAAAAAAACACCAACAGGAAAAAAAAACAACCCCAAAAAAGAAGGAAAAAACAGAATGCCAGCTGATGTTTTGGGAAATGTCTCTTGCTTTTGAACGGGGCTGCTTAGGATTCCTGCGAAAGATGCAGAGGTGAAAACAGAAACACGCTGGGTTTTGTTTTGTGGGCCCTATGATCTAATAAGTCCCACAGCCACGTGATGACACCGGCGCGGATTGCACTGCTTTCTACTCCACACCCACCACCACCACCACCAGCAGCAGTCTCCAGTCGGCCACTAAATTTTTTATTACATGAGACCGGTGAGGCAAACAGAGGCTATAATGCCCACGTCGACCCTCCCACCCACCGACACGCAGCGACTCCACGGCCGAGCTAAACAATGTGGAGCGGAGTGAGGGATCAGAGGTCTCTTCCTGGGCCAAACCCCCACGCAGTCTCACCCGAGCTCACATGGTTCGAATCAATGCTACCACTAAAGCTGTTTAGTGGGCCAATTCAATAATTACTATCAAGCTTGCAACTTATCTCCTGTTGTGCTTTCAGGCCGGGGGGGTGCGCGGCGGAGGGGGTTATTATTTGAGAAATTAGGCAAAAGCAAGACAGGAGCAAACAGAGTGAGTGGTCGTGAGGGGTTTTATTGCTCCCGCCACACATCAGAAAGCCCCTTAAAAAAAAAAATCCCTTTGTCATGTGCTTCTAAAGTTTCGAGTCAAGGAGGAAATTGGCCCTTAAGAGTCTGTGGAGATTCCTGCCTTTTTACACTCCTTCAGCTGTGAAAGACAACAGGGCTATCTCTCGCTTAAAGGCCTGCCTGCACTGCCTCGGCTTTGCAGAGCTGCCAAAAAGACTTTGTTGTTGCAATAAAACTCGATTGCAGCTGCACATACGGCGTCATTCCACAAAAAAAAAAAAAAAACTTGCCATGCCATAGCACTCGGATGCAATAAAACTACTACACTAAACACACACAACACAAACTACTCCTACTTTGTGTAAAATCTTAATATCTTTTTGCATGTTTTATTTATTTTTTTTTTGGTGGGGGGGCACGTGACACCAAACAAATTGCACAGAAAATGTGACCTGGTGCCACAGAGATTACAAGGAGGTTGTAGACTGGCAGGAACGGTTTGATCTAATTAAAGTCGGCGTGCCTTGCAGAACCGTGTTTGTATTAAGTGCATATTTCAGCCTTGTGCCCCCCCCCAAACTGAGGAAAAACGAGCCAACGTGGATGCCCACGAGGGGCTAAGAAAGTGGGTCAAGTATATATAATGCAGATGTGGAGCTCTGGATTACTGATAAAGAGTGCATTTGTGGAGAAAAAAATGATAATATAAGGCTCTAGATTAAATTCAATCACGTGAAAGGTAATCCACACAATTCAGTGGAAGTGAGGATTGGGGAGGGGGGGTTGTGCGGGAGTACCTACAGTGATTGGAACCGTTCCAGTGCTGGTTTCTGACGGACGAGCTGTAAGGATGAGGAGCCCCGGGCACCAGTCCTTTCTCCGGGAGAAGACACCCTCTGCTCTGGTTGTAGTAATCCATCATCAAAAAGGGGTTGGGGCTGGGGTTCAGTCCCACTACGTCCACGCTTTCGTACATCATACGGGCCCAAAAAAAGGGGGGGGGTCGTATTCCCACACACCCCTAAAAAAAAAAAAAATCAAAAGAAATCAAACTAGTGCGCACACCAGCCGAGGTAGAAAGAGAGGGCACCAAACGGGATCAGCGCAATAGTGATAGATCCATTTCAACATTTGCCTTGTCGTTTTTTTTTGAACGCGATGTGAAGCTAGTGGAGGAGATTTAAAACACGCATGCTGCGGCGGAGACGCTCACGCGCGCAAAAAAAAAAAAAAAAAAAATGATGCGCCGAATAAAATCCCAAAGAGGAACGCGCACGCAAAAATAGTCGAGGGAATCCCGTCCGACTGCAGCTTTTTTTCCCTCTCTCTCTCTCTCTCTCTTTTGTTTTTTTTTTAAACAATCCGTGTTTGTCCCCAAGCCCGGCGAGACTCGTCCGCTGCGCGAGCCCGCAATTCAGCGAACCGGCGTCGGTGTTCGGATTCCTCAGCAAAAGCGCTTCGTTTGCGTCCGTGCGCGTAGACGGATCGAGCCCACACGGAGGGAGCGTGTCGCCGCGATCATGTTCTGCAGCAATGTGACAAGGCGCAGCAGCTGAGGGCTGAGGCTCCACCCCCCCACCCCAAATCACACACACACGCACACACACACACACACACAATCCCCTTTCCCCCGCTCCTCTCCCTCTGCTTTCATCCGTTGCGCCGCCTCCGTTTAACCCATTCGGCACGTCACCACGCTTCTCCACAGACCATCCCGAGAGAGGCACCACCACCGCCAAAGCGGCCTCCTCCTCTCAGTCTACTTTAAGTTCTGAGAAAAAGAAAAAAAAAAAAAACACGTGCTGTGATACTTTCCAACATATTTCCCATCCCGGGTCCCCTCATTCTATCTCGTTTGACCCTGTTACCCCCCC